AAAAAAAAAAACCCTATTCGATTCATCGTGTCGCCTGCGGGCCTGCGGCTGCTTGCTTGGCGTCATCTTCTGATTCTTCTCTTCCTCGGGTATCTTCTTCTCCGCATCCCACTTCTTCTTCTCGGCTTCCGGTGTTTTTCACTTTTTCTATTCTTCTGCTTTCTACATGCTCTTGTACAAAACCATTTCAGAGTACCTGCTGGCATGCTGCATATTAACTTGTAATAATATTTGAACAGCAAAGCCGTATTAAGGAAGAAGATCCTGGTCATATTAATGGGAGTCCGTATTGGTCATCTCAGGAAGAAGATCCTGGTCAGCGGCTAGAGGCAAAGCCGCAAAGCATACTGCAGCCGAGCAAAAAAGGTTATGCACTTATACTTACAAGTTACAAATCATCTTTTCTTTTTCTTTTTTTTTATATGAAATGCGTTGTATTTTTTTTTTCTTCCTAGTTTTGTTATCCAGCATGATAACTTGCTAGGTTTTTTGTTTAGGATTCCCTAATGCTTTAATTATAATTTAGTTTATTGTGGATTCTGATCTAATTTAAGTAGTTAATAACTTAATATAAATAGATATTATTTTCTAGCATTGATATAGTATTATATGAGGTGAACCAATGCCTGTTATGGAGATGCTGGAACTTTCTATTCCTCTTTTCCTACTTTGCCTATGCAGGGATCTTATTTCTAGCTCATAATGAATGAATGCTATGCTATCAGCTTAAATGTCGTTAACAATTGTTCCCAATTCTAATTTGACTGTTAGCCGATACATATTTGTCTTAATTTATAAAAGATAGCTTCATTGAATGTTTTCTAGGTTAAACCTTTTAGCAAATGCACAAATGCGTTTAACTCGACTGGATGAGCTAAAGAAAGCTGCTAAATGTAGTGTAGAGATGCGCTTTTTTTATCTAACTTAGTATTATAGTTAGTCAAAGTCAGATGCTTGTTTTACTAACATTTCTTATGGTGAAAATGCATATTTCATTTGAAATCATTTTAAATCTATTCCAGGTTTTGAACGTGCTTTCTTTGTGGAATTCATCAATACTTTGTAAAGGTTGGAGACTTTAGTCTGTGGTGGAAGTTCAAGTGATATAAAATTTAAGCTCTTTGAGGTATGCATTATGTGTCGTTTTAGCTTTGTGACTTTTCCAATTGCATAGTTTTCTACCTTGCATAGTTTTCTCTAGTTATAGTTTTCTACATTATAGTTTTCTTATTTGTAGTTTTCAACTTTGTAGTTTTCTACCTTGAATGGTTTTAATTTATTTGCATGTAATTTTATTCAGTAAATCAAATTAGAATGGAAGCACCTAGTAATCAGACTTCAGGTTCAACTTATACTGTGCGTGAGAAAGTGGACATTGCTTGGAATCATTTTACTGAAGTTAAAGGAGCTGATGGGAAGAAACAATTTAAATGTTTACATTGTGGTATTTCATACAAGGGAGGAGGAATTAATAGAATGAAACAACATTTAGCAGGTGTAAAGGGGAATATAGCTGCTTGCAAGAAGGTCCCACATGATGTTAGATATCAAATGCATGAAAACTTGAAGGAAATTTCAAGAAAAAAACAACAAGCACAGGAAGAGTTGGACACTACGCCATTTCCTGTGGATGATGCTATAGATGAAGAGAGAGATTCATGTTCTCTACCAAAAACACAATCTTCTCAAGCACATGAGAGTAAAGGAAAAAGAAAAGCTTCCGATATGGATACCTTCTTTGCCCCTAGAACTACACGAGGTTCCCAACCTTCAATTAAGAGTGCTTTAGCAACTAAGGAAGTTGTGCACCGTGCAGATATGGCATTAGCAAGGTGGTTTTTTGATTGCTGCATTCCTTTCAATGCTCTTAATTCAATATATGCACAGAAAGCGATTGATGCCATTACTGCAATAGGTCCTGGTTACAAGCTCCCCAGTTATCATAACATGAGAGTAAACTTACTTAGGGATTGTAAGGAAGAATGCAGGCTACTCATTGATGGTTATAAACAAACTTGGAAGGAAACAGGTTGTACACTTATGGCAGATGGATGGACTGACAGTAGGAGTAGAACTCTAATCAATTTTTTGATATATTGTCCTCGTGGTGTTTCTTTTTTAAAATCTGTTGATGCTTCAGACATCACAAAGGATGCTTCCACTTTGTGCTCTTTATTTATTGAGATTGTTGAGTGGGTTGGTCCAGAGAGTGTTGTTCAAATAGTTACTGATAATGCTGCTAATTACAAGAAGGCAGGTCAACTGTTACATGAAAGATTCAACAATATATACTGGTCACCTTGTGCTGCACATTGTATGAATTTGATTTTGAAAGATATTGGAAGCATGCCACTCATAGAGGAGCTAGCAAAAAAAGCATCAAAATTGACAATTTTCTGTTATAATCATATATTCATATTAGCATGGCTTAGGAGAAGGCCAGGTTGGAAGGAGATCGTGCGTCCTGGAGCTACCCGCTTTGCAACAACCTTCATAACTTTGAAAAGTGTATATGAGCACCATCATGATCTACAAGCACTAATTACAAGCAAGTTCTTTACGGATTCGAAGATATCCAAAACCTCTAAGGGAAAGGAAGTTGCTTCAATTATTTTGGACTTGAGGTTTTGGGATAATTGTCTTATTATTTCAAAGATATCGGGCCCCTTGATTAGGTTATTGCGTATCGTTGACTCTGATGAAAAACCATCCCTTGGATATCTATATGATGGCATGTACAGGGCAAGGAAAGCTATTAAAGCTCTGTTCAGAAATGTAAATAGATCATATAAGCCTTTTACTATTATAATCAAAAGAAGATGGGATACTCAATTAAGATAAGACATCCATTCAGCAGCATACTTTCTCAATCCTCATTTCTAGTATGATAGAGAGAACTATTGTCAAAAGCCAAAAATTTTGCAAGGTCTAGTTGAATTAATTGGAAACAAAGATATTTGCACTAAGTCCAAAGTTGCAATGAATGAAGTCAGATTATTCCGTGATTGCTTAGAAAGCTTTGGAAAACCAATTGCACTGGCAATGGCGAAAGAAATGCAACCTGATAATTCTCTTTTTTTACTTTCAACATGTGTATATACTTATACAAATATGCTTATTCACTAAACTCTCAAACTTGATAATATGTAGATGAGTGGTGGAAGATGTTTGGATCAAGTGCTCCAAACTTGCAAAAAGTTGCTATAAGAATTCTCAGCCAAACATCATCTTCATCAGGATGCGAAAGAAATTGGAGTGTTTTTTAATAGATCCACTCAAAGAGACGGAATTATTTGGAGCATCAACGACTCAACGATCTTGTATATGTTCGATATAATCTGAATTTAAAGAATAGGTATGATCTTACATTAAATTTATGTACAAGTGTCAATTTAAGTAGTATGTATAATCTTAACATAAAATTATTTATTCATTTTTTAGGTTTCAACTTAAAAAAAGACATTATGACCCTCTGGACTACAGTTGTGTTGAAATGGTTGATTTTTGGATACTTGAAGATGAAACAACTCCAGAACTTGACTTACAGGATTTAGAAAATGAGATATATAAAGAGGATGCAATACCAATTGTTGAAGAACAAAATATATCATTTAATCAGCCAGGACATTGTAAGTTGACAATGAAGTTTGAATATATTATCTAATTGAAAGCAAAAATAATATCTTATTTTATATTTCTTATTTGTTGGTGAAGGTGATTTAGAGAATGAAGGAGATGTAGGTGACATAACCGGGCTCGATCAATCGGATGCATTTGAGTTTGAACATTTTGGTGAAGCGAGG